TAGTGATCAGTGCAATTCCCTCTCAAGCCAGAGAATCCGGGTTTGAGACCGGGTCAGGGCGAAACCTGAGCTAAATTTCCATACCCCTCACGCCTCTGTTTATCGAGCAGTAAGTAGGAACTTGATTGTCAATCAATGAGCAGATCGCTTTCTGGTGTGGAAATACCTTCCAAGTCAATCAATCAATTGGTCTATGGGTACATCAGTCCATCGCTTGTTTGGTCGATTGGTCGGTCATTCCGTCGCTCAGAAAGGCAGTGAAATGTGATATACAGACTCGGTGGTCTGAATGGTCTCCTCCTGTAACTGCAGCACAGAATTCCGATGCCCTTAAACCCAGATTCAATTTCCTAAACACGGGTGGGGGGCCATCTCGCAGGTTGGGGCTGTGGGTCCCCGGCCCCGGAGGTCAGTGCAACCGAGTCATTCTTATCGAAGGATGGAATGTCTCTGTGTGTTTAATGTCAGAGAGCACACGGCTGAGGTCCAGTCCTCCATCTCCTCCCCCACCAACTGCTTCCGATGTTAAAAACAGGTGACAGATCAATAAACCCTCAGTGACATCACAGCCCATCACAGGGGCAGAGGAAGGACCACACGGCTCCTGTCGCTGTAATACCGCGTTCAGCCACAGAGGGCGGTGTTGCACTGCGGAGCCAACAATTCACAGCCAACACCGCCCTCTGCTGGTCACACCCCCTCCTCACCCTCACCAGCCCCGCCCCCTCCCCACCCAGCCCCGCCCCCTCCCCACCCAGCCCCGCCCCCTCCCCACCCAGCCCCGCCCCCTCCTCACCCAGCCCCGCCCCCTCCACACCTAACCCCTAACCCCTACTCACCCAGCCCCTCCCACACCTCACTCAGCCCCACCCCCTCACCAACCAGCTTCGCCCCCTCCACACCCCGCCCCGCCAACTCCACCTCCACACCCACCCAGTCCCGCCCCCTCCTCACACAGCCCCGCCCCTCAAACCAGCCCCGCCCCCTCCACACCCAGCCCCGCCCCCTCCACACCCAGCCCCACCCCCCACCAGCCCCGCCCACTCCACACCCAGCCCCGCCCCCTCCTCACCCAGCCCCACCCCCCCACCCAGCCCCACCCACTCCACACCCAGCCCCACCCACTCCACAACCAGCCCCGCCCCCTCCTCACCCAGCCCCGCCCCCTCCTCACCGAGCCCCTAACCCTCCTCACCCAGTTCCGCACCCTCCTCACACAGCCCCGCCCCCTGCTCAACCAGCCCCGCCCCCTCCTCACCCAGCCCCGCCCCCTCCTCACCGGGCCCCACCCCTTCCTCACACAGCTCCGCCCACTCCACACCTAACCCCTCCCCCTACTCACCCAGCCCCTCCCCCTGCTCACCCAGTCCCGCCCCTCCACAGCTAACACCTCCCCCTACTCACCAAGCACATCCCGCTCCTCACCATGCCCCGCCCCCTCCAAACCCACCCAGCCCCGCCCCCTCCCCACCCAGCCCCGCTCCCTCCTCACCCAACACCGCCCCCTCCTCACCGGGCCCCACCACTTCCTCACACAGCCCCGCCCGCTCCACACCTAACCCCTCCCCCTACTCACCCAGCCCCTCCGCCTCCTCATGCAGCTCCTCACTGGCCCCGTCTCCTGCTCGTCCCTCACACCCTCTGCCCCACCATCGGAGGTCGCACTTCCAGCCACTACGCCCTGAAACCCTGGAACACTGTCCCTCAATCCCTCCGCCCCCTCTCTCCCCTTTTTCAAGTCCCGCCTGAAAGCCTTCCTTTCTAACGGTGCTTACGGCCACGTCCCACCCCTGGGCTCGGAGTCAGGCTCCGGCACTGAGAGGCGCTCTGAGGCGCTATCCTGCGTGGAGGGCGCTGTATAAGTGCAAGTTGTTGTTGTTACGTTTTATTCTGCCATCAATGGTTTACCAATCGCAGCCACTTGCGATGCCCCGACAGCTGCTGCTGCTGTTGTCGCTGTTGGTGTGAAGGGGAATAGTGTACGAGAGGTCAGACTGTGGCTCCGGGTGTGAGCGCCGGAAGCTGATCACTGACTGACGGAGCACAGTCACAGCCGCTTCCTGACACTTGTGCTCTGTGCGGCCGCCCCACCTGAAGGCAGTCGGACTCCTCCTGTGTGAAGCCACTGTCCAGACTGCGCTCAACCGGAGACTCCACACACACAGAACAGCATCGTGTTCCGCACTTTGCTAATGAGCTGCTCAGCAACGTCCACTGTGCTGTAACGTCGGCAAACAATCATTTCCTGTAAACTCACCGTCTTGAATTGTCAGTAACAGAAAGAAACACAAAACAATATAACAATATAAAGACACAGAACTTTCCAGCATTTATGTAAGTTGCTAAATAAAGCCATCGCCTCTTATTGATTCATTTATTATGTAAGAAAATTACAGACAATGCAGAAAATGGGTTAACAAAGGCAACCGGACAATAAAAAGCCATATCACAAGCTGAGGGTAGACTATTTTCTGGGTAATTAATCTGTCCGTCTCTGCCACATTACACCAGAGATATACTGCACAATAGAAACTGTCCACTGTTCAGATACTCCAACACTTGATGACATTTTCACAATGAGACTGTGTAGAGATACACATTGGATGGAACCAACAGCCTCAGGAGGCCACAGACACAGCCATTTGGGACGTTGGGAAGAGGGAAGAATTGGTATTTAATAAGTCAGGACATGAAGGTACATGGAGACAACGCTGGGAAATGGAGTTAGAGGGAATTCCCACAGAAGCCGGTGCCGGCTCCAGCCGCCTTGGCCATTCCTTCAATGGAACAAGAAACAATATGAACCACTGGGCGGGAAAAACTCTCAATAAACCAGAAACACACTGATGTAGAACAAGATGTGATTAGAAATAGTCACACATCACCGAGAGACTGATCACCAGGATTGTCCTGACATTCAGCAAATACAAACCTTGTTCATGTCAGGAGAAAAGTGTCTCCAACAACAATCATCAAGAACAAGAATGAAAATAACTTGGAATGATGTTGAGCTTCAGGTTCCCTCAAAGTCGGGGTATTTTGTGAGGAGCCACACACGGAGCTGTTCTGTGTCCTGTTGTTTAGGAGCCGTGACATTGATGTCTTTCCTGATGTGGAGATTTCTGTTGTGTTCTGACAGATTTGCTGTAAATTATCGGCTCCTGTAGATGTTGTTACAGGTTCCGAGTCCTCTCTCCCGGGTCAAGTGGCTTTGAAAATCCTATAACACCACTTGGAAAAGGTAAAGGTGTTTTTGTCAGTTTACTGGTCAACAATCCATGAGGTAACCGGACATCAGCATCAGACAGTCAGGGCGCTCTACACACACTCCCTGATACTCTCTCCCTCGCAGTTACTGACAGCTTCAGGGATTCGGGAGTTGGGGGAAAGCCGCACTGAATCCACTTCTGATTCAAACTTCACGTGTTTTCTTTGCAGTTTTCTCCTCCAGTTTCTTCTCTCCTTGTCCTGAAGGAGTGTTACTGTCCTTACATTTCACTGGGCTCCGACTGCACCAGCAGCCCTCGCCATCCGGCTTCTCACCCCAAGTGATGGTTTAACAATAATAATCCTTGCATTTGATACAGCGCTTTTCATGTCTTCTAAACTTCTCAAAGTGCTTCACATAATAGTGTGTAAAGTGAATTGACTGTATATTTGTGGGCGAAATACGGCAGCCAATTGCACACAGCAGAGCCCACAAACAGTCGTGGATTGAAATGACCAATTTATTATTTTTTTGAGGTATTATTATCATATTATCAGGCGTGTGGGGTAAGGAAACTTGCCCAAGGTTTCACTCTGCCAGGAATCGAACCCGGGTCTCTCGCTTGCAAACGTGACACGGTTTCATGCCCGGCTTGAGAGCATAAGCCACCACATCAAACCATTCACAACCATTACATTGTGAAATGGACAATCAAGTTTGTGATTTCAGTAAATACAGAGATTGAGAACAGGAAGGATTAGAATGGGAAGTGTGTTAAATGCTGAATTTTACGCGATTTCCATGAGAACAGAAATAAACATTGTGGCCAAACATAACACCGATATAGTCTCCAAAAGAGGCTTCCTCAAGGCATGAGAACAGAGAGGAAAATAGGTGTAAGGTAAAGCACACTGACAACAGGTGGAATAGAAGATAGATTAAAATAACAAGGAATGTAGATTAAAATAAAGATTAAAATGAAAGTCTTTTATAAATCTTTCCCCGGAAAAACAGCGGTTGGGGAAGCAATAAGATTCTTGTCTTTATGCCCAAGTGGGATATGAAATCAAGATTGGAGGATATGAAATAGAGGACAATCATCTACAATAGATCAGAACTTCGCTAAACCGTAGGAAATACTGAATATTTTATATTAAGATACAGTATTAATTTTTGCCCAAAAAATACACAGTCACTGCACTTGAACACACATTCTGGAAAGCACTTTGAGATGTTTCAACGATGTGATAAGGTGCTCTATCAGATGCAACGGTTATCATAATAATAATCAGTAGTATTCGAAGAACATAAGAATTGCTCGACAAAAAAGATCACTTTGCTCACCATCCACCATTCTGGGTGTCACAGGAACACGCAATGTCCCAAACAATATACTGTATCCCATGTTATTATTTACTAAAAGTAATGAACTAAATTGCTTCAGAAAGAATTGAGACTTTCTGCTTCCACCGTCTCCTCAGGGAGTCTGTTCCGAACCTTTACCACTCGCTCCCTGGATAGTGCTTCTGCAGTTTTATTTAGAGTTGATCCCCTCCCCCCGACCCCCCCACACACACACATACACACAAACACCTGGAAGGAAGCAATTGCCGATGCTTCAGGGTGAGCGCGAGGGCTAATACTATTGAGACTTATATTAATATTAATTTGCTGTAAATGCAGAATGTAAAGGTACAATTATTGCTCTGTGCAGATCAGAGGGAATGTGACACGTGACTCCCCTCAGTCCTGGAGCTATTGGTCCATTCTCAACCCCCTGCCCCACTGGGCCTTGTTAAATAGCGGTCACTGGGGACTGAGGCCATCTGTCCGGCAGCTCTTTGGCCCTCGGTTATTCGGCACAAGTCTCAGTTCTGACAAGTGGCCAGAAACATGAGGTCCCTGATGTCTCTCAGTCTGCTGCTGGCTGTCTTCTCCCGTGAGTACTATTATTCTGACAGTCTCACTGTTCCTGTGTTGGTGTTATTCTCTCTGCAACGTCACAGAGACAGGAGATTTCGCCATCATTCATCTTCGGTCATTTATTCCTTACAGATGTCCAGGCCGATGTGGTGCTGACACAGCCGTCGTCTCTAACCGGGAAGCCTGGCCAGGCCCTGCTACTGACCTGTAAAACCAGCGGCTTTGATCTCAGTGGCTACTACATGAGTTGGGTCCGGCAGGTTCCTGGGAAGGGGCTGGAATGGCTCCTCATGTATCACAGCTCAGCCTACCAGTACTATGCGCCTGGTATTCAAAACCGTGTCACTGTCATCAAAGAGAATTCCAATAACATCTTCGATTTGATCATCAAAAGCCCGACAGTGGAGGACACCGCCATCTATTACTGTGCAAGAAACTCACAGTGAGAGGAAATGGGGCTAAACTCCTACAAATACTCAAGGGGTGGAAAGGCTAAGGCAGCCCCTCCCACCCTAAACTGACTGATGGACATCCATGGTGTCAATGCTGTGTCTGTAGCCAAGTTTGAAGGAAAAGCTGAAGATGGATTTATTCTCAGACTAAACCTACACAGTGAATCGTGGTTTGATTGGGGTGAATGAGCTGCTGATTTGTGCTGTAATATTCTGTGATTTCAGATGGTCAGTGACACTACTGTTGAGGTGGGAAGGACTGCGATTGGAGACTGACTATGTGACGGTTCACACACATCATCTTGTTACAAGCTGTTGGACATCATTGCTTTCTGTTTCTCTGGATATGAAGAAACTATTAGACAGACTCTACGTCACGTCAGAGGACAATAGTCCCTTTCAGTCAATTTTGGCAGCCGGTACTGAGCCAACATTGGGGGTCAGTATTTGTATGGGACTGTGTCACTGTGTGTACCGGGAGTCACAATGCTGCACACAGTCACCTCCTCATACAAAAACCCCACCAGAGAGCCCGCTGACCCCAGTCATCACTACAACACCCACAGCACCAAAATAAATGTTACTGAACGTGGGCATTCTCAGAACGAACCTGGTATTTTACAGATGATTTCAGATTAAATTAGATTACAGGATGTTGATAACAAGATTGAGGTCTGGGATTCTGCCCGAACATTAATCCAAAGTCTTTGATAAACAGCAGCATTTATTTTGACTGAAACATCACTTGAGGCTTCACTGGAGAATCTGAGCTGAGGTCCAGTCGTTGTCTGAAATTCCAGGTCAATATTTATTAGATCATCCTGTTCAGGAGTTTGTGTCACAGTGAGTATCACTGTGTCAACATGGACCACAGCATTCACTGTCAATACAAAAACTCTTCAACACCAAACCAGACAATCTCTCTCACTGTTCGCTTGTGTGGGTCCCAATGAATGTGCGGGGATTTGGTCTTTTGAAAATGGTGCCGATCGCTGAGGATTTTACCATATTTTAATGGACATAAAACATAAAATGTAATCTTGAATCTGATGGTGACAAGAAAAGGTGTTTGGCAGGAACACTGCAAACTGGCAAACACACAAACATTTAACAGGTAAACACTGAGAGAGAGGGGCAATAGTTCTCAGAACATTACAGCAATATATGGTGACCTGCATTTGGTTTGGGGGAAGCCAACATTGACAGTAATATTGTGTGTGTGTGCTCTGCCCTCACAGTAGGTTGTTGCAGTGGGCGGCCACTGACTGGAGCACAGTGACTACCTTGACTACTGGGGACGAGGCACCATCGTGACTGTGACTAACGGTAAGAAACAGACACTGAGTCACTCACTGCACTGAACTTGTCTCTTTATACGTTTGTTTTGTTCACTTTAACAGCTATTGCATTTAATGAGCTCCGCGTTGCTCGGCTTTCTCAGAGTTTAATGCACGTTAAAGGGGTTCAGCTGTTGTTGCTTTCAACAGTCACTGTTCCTTTATGAATTATTCTCTCAATGTTTAATTCATTGATGGTGATATTTTTGGTGGTTTGTGAATATCAGCTGAGGTTTAACTGATGGACTTTCCTCAATGTCTGGTCGCAGTGACTGATGGCTGTGTTTTTCGTGTATAATATCGTCAGGAAATGTATAAATCTGTTTGAAACTATGTCCACGTGTTGGGAATCAGGGCCTGAATGTTGCGGATGAGTGACGGAAGGTTATCTGATCACTTCCAACGTGTATTTCAATCCATCATTTAATATAAGGAACTTGGCTGCGGTTTAAAGCTGCTCATCTGGGAGTGGGGGTGAGTCTGAGAGTAAAACGGGTTTATACTGCGGGGATGTGATTGAAAATACAGCGACTCAATCTACACGGATGTTACAGAAATAATAGCGAATTTTAGTCAGTGACAGTTTGAGCTCAGACTTCATTTCAATTGATTTTAACAGCAATCGAGTGAACAAGACCTCGATTCCTCACAGTGATCAGACACAAGAGGTCGGTGTTGATCTATAATCATCATCTTCCTGTTTTACACCAACTGCTCTGCAGAAAAACACAGATTTTATCAATAAACAAATGGTAAAGTCTGAATTACAGCTGCAATGTCAGAGATCCAGTTGTTTATGAGATGGTTAACACACAGTGACACTGGTCACTGACACCAAACTAATGATTTCAGAGATGATCAGCTCACACTCCAGAGTCGGCAGAGATGAGGGTGAAAGGAAGCAGTTTGTCATTTGACTGTAAATATATGATTTAGTTGTTCTGTGTCACTGTTTGCGCTGCGGGGAATTGTGAGTGTGAGTGACATCGCACAGTGTCCAGTGCTTCATGTGTGATGTGGAAGGACAGTGTGTGCGCTGCTGTGCAGTTACTGAGGGCTTCCGCTCTCAGAGGGAAAGGGAATATAGAGTAACATGTGGGTTATTGGATGGAAACCGTTTGTGTTTGAGATGTGAGAGTTCGCGTTGTGATTAAACGGCATTGAGCGGTGGAACAGCAAACGGCTGAACCGCGATGTCTGACTGTGTGGAGTTGGGTTCATGTTTGACCCTCAGACCCCGGGGGAGGAAAGGGCAATGGGAAGGTTTGTTTTGATAAATATCTTCCCAGAGGCTGAGAAACCCACTGACCCTCAGGCCGTGTGGAGACCATTTTGTGGTAAAGTGTAAAATCGCGCAGAATTGTGAACAATTGTTATATTCCGTGTGATGTCTGAAACAGGTTTCCTGAGTCCTTAAGGAGAACCGGATTCCAAATTTAAAGTGAATTTAAGGTTATTAAACACTTCCACCAAATCTGAAGGTAAAGAGAGAATGGTCTTCCAGTGTGAGATTAGTCTCTGGTTTTATCAAATCAACGTTTTATTCAATTTATTTATCACTAACAACCCGGTGTCCGGGGGTCAGGGAACAGCCCCACAGATCCCATCCCACTTGCTGTCCAGTGTCTACACCACTGCCTCTGTCTGTCAGTCTGGGTGACATGACCACAACATGACAACAGGACATCTAACTGTCACCCCAGAAATCTGAGACAATTCAGGTTAATACAGACTGTGAAGCAAAGCAGAATGTTATCCATTCTGTGAAGTCCTGTAGCTCAGTGGTTACAGCACTCGCCGCACAAGCGAGAGGCCCCGGGTTTGATTCCCGACAGGTCAGGGCCAAACTTTGGGCAAGTTTCCTGACCCCACACACCGCTGTTTACCAGCAGTCAGCAGGAACCCATTTTCAGTGCATTCACGGATCGCTTTTCCGAGGCTAATAATCCCTTCAAAATAATAATAATTTGGTGACTGAATCCATTATATTCTGTGTTGCGCTTTGAGACGTCTCGAAGATGTGGTGAGGGACTACATCAAATGCAGGAATTATTATAATAATTATATTCCGATATATGAATGTAAAAGTGTTTTGCTCCTTAGTCAATGCAGCGTCACTGACATCAAACCCCCGCACAGCGACCTCTGCCTTTATTTAACCATTTCAGAGCTGATGTGTGACACAGATACTCGTAAATGTGGCTATTTCTGTGTCTCCGTTCCGCGCTGGGCTGCGGCTGCTGCAGGTTCCCCTGATCACAGTCACCAGTCAGACAGGATTCCCTGTGAGAGGCTTGTCCTGGGCACAACACTGAGAACAGTCCTTCATTCCTCATGTATATAGCCTCGGAGTCCTGTAGCTCAGTGGTTAGAGCACTCGCTTTGCAAGTGAGAGACCTGAGTTCAATTCCAGGCAGAGGGCCAAACCTCGGGCAAGTTTCCTTACTCCACACAGAGCCTAATAATAATCCCTCCAAAAAACAAACAAAAAAAATAATAAATTGGTCATTTTCAATCTACGACTGTTTGTGGGACATTGCTGTGTGCAATTGGCTGCCACGTTCGCCCACAAATATACAGTCAATTCACTTTAAAGTATATTCTGTGAAGCGCTTTGGGATGTCCTCCCGACGTGTAAAGCGCTATATCAAATGCAACGATTATTATTATTATTATTGTTATTATGTGAAACACTGAACCTGACCAATATACGGTCTCTCTAGTTTTGTGGATAAAAGAGTTAAATAGAGACCAAAATCCATCAATAATCAGATAAATAATGAATGTACTATTTCTAACACCACACAGCAGCTGTCAGGTGCGAAATTGGCTGTGACGATTCTGTAACCAATCTGAACAGAGTAATAATAATAATAATCCTTGCATTTGATATAACGCTTTTCACGTCGGGAGGACGTCCCAAAGCGCTTCACAGAACACACTGTAAAGTGAATTGACTGTATATTTGTGGGCGAACGCGGCAGCCAATTGCGTACAGCAATGTCCCACAAACAGTCGTAGATTGAAAATGACCAATTTATTATTATTTTGTTTTTTTGGAGGGTTTATTCTGTAACCAATCTGAACAGAGTAACCGCTTTAATCCATGTCAGAGCCTGAAAGGCTCGTGTTTTTCATTTTCAGATGATTGCATAAAAATATAAGATTATGCTGAGTCTGAATAATCTTGAAATCAATATTTATTGTCTAATTCAATAGAGGATTTGCAAATTAAAGGAAAGCAATTGATTTCAGCTGCTTTTCAAAATGCCACAAGACCTTAAATCTTTAAACAAAGTTCCTCGGAGGAAGAGCAGTAAATATTTGAGTCTGGGATGGTTTATAATTAATGTTATAACCACAGAGACACTGTCTGATTCTCTGCATTAAACTGGTCACGAGGGGACTTTGAGCTGTTACTCAGTCGATGCAGCGTCACTGACAACAGATTCCCGGACAGACACCTCTGCCTTTATTTAACCATTTCACAGCTGAAATGAGCCGGAGAATGTCCGGCTATAGCTCAGGGAACTGAGAGTGAGATCCACAGCACAGAGACAGACAGACAGACAGTCGAGACTTAGTTGTGTAGATGAGCAGTTTCTCGCTTTCACAGACAGACAGACACAGCTGAACCAACATTATTGGGATCTTAAATTTAAACAGTATTTGCAAATGTGTGTGACCTTGGAGACCATGCAGCTCCTGCCACCCACCCACCCCACCCACCCCCCCACACCACCACACCCACCCCACCCACCCCACACCACCACCCCCAACCCCCCCACCCCCCCACACCCCTCGACACCCCCACACCACCTCCATTCACTGTGTTTATACATACAAACAAAGACAAAGATGAAAAAACATTAAGTCTATTTTTCTCCTTGAATGAAAACCTCTGTCTCAGTGCACAACTCCAGCGAGCGTGCACACACAGTACACACACAGTCATGCACACATTAATACAATAATATTCATTGCTTCAGGTACAGAGCCAATGATGTCAGTGAGACGTCTCAAAGCGCTTCACTGGATATAATGTAAAGTGGATTGATTGTATTTTGTGGCAAAACTCAGAAGCAGTTGTGCACAACAATGTCCCACAAACAGGTGTAGAGGGAGTGGCCAATAATATTTGGGGAATTGTTGACCAGGACATCCGGAAAGAAAGAGACAGAGAACTCCTTTCTGTTTTCAAATAGTCCCATTGGATCTTTAACATTCAACTTAAGGCAGAAAGGGTCCCAGTTTAACATCTCAAATCAAAACACACATACATACATACACACATACATACATACATACATACATACATACACACACACACACATACATACATACATACATACATACATACCTACACACATACGTACATTTGGATTGATTTGGATCACAGGTTCAGTTCAGTTTATCTGTGTGACTGACCAAATTGGAGAGGTGTAGAACCTGGAATGTAATTTGGTTATTTCCCTCTTGGTTTCCAGCTGTCCCGTCTCCTCCCAGTGTTTACTTCCTGTTGCCAACCTGTGGACAATCCCCTTCCAGCGGCTCAGTGACTCTCGGGTGTCTGGCCACCGAATACAACTCCGAACCGGCCACTCTCACCTGGACGTCAGATAAAGGCCTCATCACTGACCAAGTCAAGACTTATCCCTCAGTGTTCAACAAGAACGGTCTCTACACTCTGAGCAGCGAGTTAACAATCGCTGTATCGCAGCTGGAAAATGACAACATCCATTGTAAGGTTGAGCAGAAAAGCAACAACTGGCCACCCGTGGCTATCCCCGTGCCAGGTCAGTGTGGTGCCAAGTTACAGAGCAATCAAACATGTTGCTCCCACATTATTAAGGGTAGAACACTCAACGTTGTAGGATTGGGAATGTCACTTTTCTTGCTCGGTTATTTGAACTCTCCCATCACAGAGCATCTGCAATGGCCTCATGATGTGATTTCCCGAGTGCTGCTTTATCCGGAGATAATGGGCAGATATGAACACGATAGAAAGTACTCGAAACAGTTTTAATGGATGGGGATAGATAGGAAAATAGCATGACAAGGAACAGATACAACACAAACTGGACAGAGGGAAGGTGAGACTCAGAGAAGGAGAGTGAACTCGCTTTGGAGAGCAAGACTTGAGGAATGCTCAATGATAGGCAACAAGAGAAGGAGAATAGAAAAGTTTTCAACTCCCACTTTAGAGTTTAGTGCAATATATTGGATGCAATGATTGAGGAGATTTCAGTGTTTATCTTTCTAATGGTAGGGATTTAATGGGAAGATTGAAAGAGATAAGTATTTAGTGGGAAGTTTCCACTCTGTGGCTGAGATCAATATCTGTTTCAAGATTAATATCAATATCAATTGTACACAACAATAATATTTCCATTGAACAAAACCTAACCTATTATTTAATGTGTTGCAGATCATGTATTCCAGAAACCGTTGCCCCCAATTGTTATCCTCACACAGTCTTCACCTGAAGACATCACAATGCACAAACCGGCCACTGCTGTCTGTTCAATATTCGGTTTCCATCCGGACAAACTCAGTGTTAAATGGCTGAAAGACTGGCAGCCCATAACCTCAGGTGCTGTGACCTCTCCGTCGGTTAAAGAAGACAACGGGACATTCAGCACCAGCAGCCGTCTGACTGTCCCCGCCATAGAGTGGGGGAGTGGCGCGGTTTACACCTGCCAGGTGTCCCATGGACCCACCCAGACCATCATTGTCAAGAACATCACCAAATCCTCAGGTAAGAGGCTGCATTTTGCCCACAAAATATACAGTCAATTGCGATGACTCGAAGATGTGATTAGGCTCTATATCAAATGCAAGCATTATTATTATTATTATTGCTTGTGGGAGCTCGAACGGCACTTTGCATTGCACCCCTTTTGGATATTTTACTGGGAGCAATGCACATGTCAGCTTTGAACCAAAGTTTATCAAACTATACAACGTGTTCATCACCTTCATGTTCAGTCATTGTTTAACTTGAACGAATATGAAATCCTGGATATTGGCTGTTATTTGTGTTTCAAGTTTCTTTTCCTTTTCTAGAATGCATGGATCCCTGTGGAGATGTTAAGGTCTATTTCCTGCCACCGTCACAGGAACAGGTTTTGATGGAATGCTATGTAACGCTGACATGTGTAGTGGCTAACGCACCACTTCACGTCAATGTGACTTGGACGCAAGGAAAGACACATTTACAGTCTGGATATGGGAAACCATCTGCCAATGATCCTCAGGAAGTCATCAGTAAATTAAACATTTCTACACAAGACTGGAATGATGGGAAAGAATTCTTCTGCATTGCTAGCCATGACGATATGCCGACTCCCATCAGAGAGAAGACATTTAAGAGGACAGGTGAGCAGTCAGGATTCAGGAGAAACATTTTATTTGTATATTGTAGTTTCAGAATGTCAACAACAGATACAATTGTGAAAACAATTATAAAATGCCTCTGTTTTTTTCCTGTTTGTATTGATAGATTTGTCCCCTCTCACAAAGGTCAGAAAATATATATAGATATAAGTTGATTCACTCACATGAATAATATCAAAAATAATCCAATCTTTGTTGCTGAAGGATATTTATACATGTTTTCAGGAGAAAAGGTATCACATGTAAACCACTGGGGGCAAATAATAAAGATCTGTCGGGAGATTTCAATCCACACCAGTGTTCCCAGTTACACCAACAGTTACAAACCACTGAGCACAGCCTGAACACAGACACACATTATTCTAACCTTTATCTGCAGAATCTTCTGTTTGAAAGTTTTCTCTGATTGACGGCATCAGTGTATTGATTTGATTGTGTTCTTCCCACAGTTGAGTACACAAAACAACCTTCAGTGTATCTCCTCCTCCCCTCGGCAGAAGAATTGTCTGCTCAGCTGTCTGTCACCCTCACCTGCCTGGTCAAGGACTTCACTCCCAAAGAGATCTTTGTGCAGTGGACTGTGAATGACCAGGTGATTGATGCCACAAACTACAAGAGCACTGAGGTGATGGCAGACAGTGCACATCACCACTACTCCATGTACAGCATGTTATCCATCTCAGCCGGAGAGTGGGACAGAGGAAGCTCCTACTCCTGTGTGGTCGGACATGAGGCTTTCCCACTGAAGACCCTGACCAGAACCGTTAACAAATCCAGCGGTAAACCGAGTTTTGTAAACATTTCTCTGGTCCTGATGGACACCGTGAATGCGTGTCAATGAGCGTCGCTCAATACCATTTTGCTTAGCCTTTTGTGCACCCGCCTCCCGACCATTGCATTGTCAGTTGGGAGTTCCGAAAAATTAACTCAAATAAAGATCATTGTTGTATTTATGAGTCAGGTACAGAGGGGATGATTTACAATTAATTACACTGACAATTTCCAGAGTGAGGAATGAGACATTTTTGTTTGAAGGGTCCTTGGTATCAAGTTAATAGAACAGTCCCAAATCGTTGTCCATCACTAGTTACAATCCAATCTCACACTGGATTTTATTTGCCTCTTGTTTTGGAATTGTGCCGCACATCTACACCTGTTCCCTTCCAGGAGACGTTCTTTTTCACTGAATAACATCGCGTAACACATAACAACATCGCGGATGTAAACTATAATCTTTATGTCTACATTTCCTCTTAAAATCAATGCTTCTTACAAACAGAAACAAATGCAGATACAACAACATATTCTCTTAAACACACGGTCAGCCATACTCGCACATTGCAAACAAAGAAACTCATTCATACTCACATCCACCCGGTGACACGTACATTTACAGACACTCACACCCACCCAGGCCCTCACACACTCACACACACTCACACCCACCCAGGCCCTCACACACTCACACACACTCACACCCACCCAGGCCCTCACACACTCACACCCACCCAGGCCCTCACACACTCACACCCACCCAGGCCCTCACACACTCACACACACTCACACCCACCCAGGCCCTCACACACTCACACACACTCACACCCACCCAGGCCCTCACACACTCACACACACTCACACCCACCCAGGCCCTCACACACTCACACACACTCACACCCACCCAGGCCCTCACACACTCACACACACTCACACCCACCCAGGCCCTCACACACTCACACCCACCCAGGCCCTCACACACTCACACCCACCCAGGCCCTCACACACTCACACACACTCACACCCACCCAGGCCCTCACACACTCACACACACTCACACCCACCCAGGCCCACACACACTCACACACACTCACACCCACCCAGGACCACACACACTCAAACACACTCACACCCACCCAGGCCCACACACACTCACACCCACCCAGGCCCACACACACTCACACACACGCACCTCACACACCCCTTCTATACATTGCAGTGATAAATACAGATTATTGTCACCATTTTGCCTGAAGTGAATCTGCAGATTGTGATAATATGGCACAAGTTTTAATCTCTGAACCACGAAACATCACCTTGACAGTGAGGGTCAGTCTCAGATCCCGTCCCCAATCAGTCTCACTGGGCCACAAGCAGCAAAGGCGGTAATCAATGGAGCTCAGGGCTGACTCCTGTTACACTTAATCCTCAATCCCTTCAGGTGATTCACTAGACATTTGTGCTGGTTCCACTGTTGCTTTAGAACAACAATAATAATAATATTCCTTGCATTTGATATATTTATCACATCTTTGAGATGTCTCAAATGCTTCAGCGAATACACTGTAAAGTAAATTGACAACATTAACGATCTTGAAACAGGCAATGCCATCTATCAACAAAATGTTTATGATGACATAACAGGGGGAAGGGACACAGTCAGGGAGATCGTGGGGGAATTGCATGAAGTTACAGACCCTTTAGCTGAATTGGCAGAAAGGTTGAAATGCAGTTCAATATTGAGACAGCAGTTTGTTAAAGTATATTTTGGAAAAATAATCACTAAAGGAAATACAGGAAAATAATGATGATAGTAGTGGAACGGGGAAAACTTGGAGAGTACAAATCGATGGGAGACAATATCAAAAGATCATAAACATGGATTCTGTCTTTTTCTCGTAGGAATCGATTGCCAATTACATATAAAGTTAGTAGGATTGTGGGTGGAGCACTGTGTGTGGCTCTGGACACTATTATACAAAGGACATAAGAGCCACTGAGGCGGTTTAAGGCCGTTTCACAAAGATCACAAAGATGATGCTTGTGATTGGCATTACAGTGATGAGGATTAGCTTCAAACATTGTGGCTGTTCTGGTGATAAGAGAAGATAAAAGAGAATATAGGGAAGAGAAGCAGATACAAGTTCTCAAATGTACGAAGCTTTTGAAAGACTGATGTCGTGAAAGGCGATTGTATCCATACACACGGGATCAAACATCCAGGAAAGTCACTGTAGAATATAAAGAGGAGATTTTTTATGTCGGGATCTTTTAGAATATAGGATTCTTCATCACAATACCATAATGTAGAGGAATGTGAATTGCTATTTGATTAATGACGGTGTCACGTTGCCCAACTCCACCGGCTTCCCATCACACAGTGGATACAGTTTAAGATACTGGTCCTCCCATCAAAGCCCTCCATGCTGTTGCTCCCCCCCTACCTCACTGACCTCCTCATCCTCTCCATTCTGTTTGATCTCTCCGCTCAGTGGGCTCTGGCCTGCATCACGTACCCCGCCTCGCTCGCCTCAGTATCGGCGGGTGGGCCTTCCGCCACTCTGCACCCACCCTCTGGAAGTCCATCCCGCAGTCCCTTCGTTCTGCCCCCTCCCTTGTCATCTTCATGACCCACCTCAAGACCCTTCTCTTTGATCATGCTTTCGATCTCTGTACGTCACCCTCTGCCCTTCCCCCTCCCCCTCACCGACCTTCAGCTCGGGTCCTTAACTCTGTCTGTCCAGCACCTTGGGACATCCTCCCGACGTGAAAGGCGCTATATAAATGTAATTTTGTTGTTGTTGTTGTTACTGTATGATCGTGTAGAAAAACAGGGCAGGAAGGTGGAATTGGAGGATTGGGGAAGATCTGTCCTTTTTCTACCAACAGAGTCTCAGTGGGAGGATTTCATTCTGAAATTCCACAAATTCAATTTTCTCAAAGTGTTCCCAAAATTCTCCTCTGAATTCAATACTTTTTCTGAACAAATAAACAAACAATACCATCAATTTTTTCTTTATTTCCCTGAAAATCAAAGGCTTGCAATAACTGGCAGGAGACGTCTTGTGGATCAATAGAGGGAGGGAACCCATGATCAACTGGGAAACTTTGTACACATTAATACTCAAACAGGGAAAAGAAGAAAAGTTTCAGATTTCAAACCCATCTCAATATATTTCTTCTTTTTTTATCCTCACAGAGTACCCAAACGAGATGATGCTGGAAGGTTTTCTAGAAGATGGAAGTGGTAACCTCTGGCCAACTGCTTCCACCTTCATCATTCTCTTCTTCCTGAGTATTTTATACAGCGCAGCCATCACTCTAATTAAGGTGAGGAGAGTAAATTCATTGAGGCCCTGATGTGATGTGACAGCTGCTGTTAAATACTTGTTCCATGGGAACATGACAGTGATGCTCATTGCAGCCACTGCTGGGACACTGCCCCTGTCCCTATAGGGCAGGTATCCCTGTGACCAGACTGTGTGAGGGCGATGAACATATCCTATCACCTTACACACCCCATTACACCTGACATATGCTCACCTGGTATAGACACAGGCCAGGGGCAAGACTCATTTACACATTATGTGGATCTTTTGATGTATTGTGGACACTTTAAAGCCGCCGAGAGAAGGGTTTCTGCCTGTGTCAGTCCCCGGCAGCTCCAAACCCATTCATACAGTATCAATTGGACTTGTGTGTGTTTGTGTGTGTGCATGTGTTTGTGTGTGAGTTTGCTGGTGTGCATGTGTGGAGATATATACACCAATAAACACAGCTTAAATACTAACTCTCCACCCAGGCTAAAATTATTCATCATATCTTTACTTTTATTTTCCAGGTAATATGAGCTTCTTAACATCAGCTTCACCGATGGTCCTGGTCAGTTTGTGTTTAATATCAATGTCTTGCGAAAGATGATGTGATATGCTCCCCCCGCACCTCTCAGACCTCCTAACCCCCGACCATCTTGTTTGCTCCCTCTGGTCAGTGGGCTCCAGCTGACATCACGTCCCCATTCTTGCTCACCTCACTATTGGTAGGCGGACAATCTGCCACTCTGCCCCCACCCTCTGGAACTCCATCCCGCAGTCCCTCAGCCTCACCCCCTCCCTCGCCACCTTTAAGACCCACCTCAAGACCCTCCTCTTCGACCGTGCTTTTGATCTCCCTGCTTCTCCCCCTGTCCTCCACATTGTCCCCACCCCAATCCCCAGCTCAGGTCCGTAAGTCTGTCTGTCCAGCACCTTGGGACGTCCTCTCAACATGAAAGGCGCTGTACAAATGTAATCTTGTTGTTGTTGATCTCTTTTTTCACCCATTGTACAAATTCGATGGAAGTAAACATTGTATTGTGCAACTTCGTGAACTTTAGTGACTTTCCTTATTGTTAGTTTATTTTGCAATGTGCCTTTTGGTCATAATAATTAATGTTGGTATTTCATATAACGTCCCTCACGTGTCTCTGATATTCTTTATTTGCTGTTTAACATTTGTGTGGTGTAACGATCCAGAAATACGGTGGCTGAGCTACTCTGCCCTTTGATTTTAATCTGAAGTTGATCTTTTGTGTTCTGATCCTGTTTGAAAAGTCTACAGATTCTGTGTATTGTTTGCCTGAAATATCAATAAAAGTGATCAAACTTATAGAGCTGTTTGAATCCTCTCTTTCCTCTTTCTTTTGTGTCAATTGTGTCTTGCCTCCTGATTTCCAAATCCTTCAGACTCACAGAAGCTCAGCATTAAACAAAAGCTGTTGAATGAACGTCCAACTTCAGTTAAGGTTTTGCTGAGAACATTTATGGGCAACAATATTTCTCACTTGAGCAGCTTCTTGGCTTCAGTGACCAGCAGCTGTTTCCGTCCCCCGGTGATCAGATCCACACCCAGATACAGCTTCAGACACATGGCTATTCTAATATAGTAACACACAGCTCTGTGTTAGAGTATTTATAGCACAATGTGAGTGGTATCTGTTTACTACATTCACAGAGCTTCATCTCCTGCCTGTGCTGAGCTGGACAACCTGAGCCGGGCAGCACCTCAATGGGAGACCATAAAGCCCAAATTCCAGCTGTGGGCAGTTGAGCTGCCGCGTTGGCTCAGGATCCTCTTCACAGTTTAATCTGTGAAACTCTTTGGGACGTCCTGCGGACATGAGAGGCACTAAACCAAAGGCAATTATTATCATTGTTATTAATAACAGCATAAACCTCCCAGGCTGAAACCGGATAGGATTGGTGGCCTAAAGTCTCTCGGTGTCAATTTGATCTGAATCCCTTTATCCCCTGTTGTGTGAATAGTTATATAAAACATTCCCTTCTAATGATTACTGTCATGATTTATTATTGTGTGTGGTTTCAGCTTTTGGTATTTGCTGAGTAGCCACTGACTTTCTCCGGGCGCTCCCTCCTTCAGGCTGAGTTTACACACAGTGTCTCTCCGGCTTCTACAGTGTGCGCTGACTTCAGCACAAAAGATAAACTCATCCTCACCCACATCTGATAACACATCATTCAGATATGTGGAGCAATATTTTCCTGGGAAAGTAAAGTATTAATAATAATAATCCTCGCATTTGATATAGCACTTTTCACGTCGGGAGGACGTCCCAAAGTGCTTCACAGAACACACTGTAAAGTGAATTGACGGTATATTGTGGGCGAACGCCGCAGCCAATTGCGCACAGCAATGTCCCACAAACAGTCGTAGATTGAAAATGACCAATTTATTATTGTTTTTGGTTTTGGAGGGATTATTATTAGGCTCTGTGTGGAGTAAGGAAACTTGCCCAAGGTTTCGCCCTCTGCCGGGAATTGAACTCAGGTCTCTCACTTGCAAAGCGAGTGCTCTAACCACTGAGCTACAGGACTCCACAATTAAGGATCTTGCAGGCAATAAAAGTTTTTCAATCGTAATTATTTTATTAATGTTACAGTAATGCTGCTATACAGTCTGGAAGGTATAGAATTAAGTAAACAGTGTGAATACAAAAGGAGAAAAGGTTATCAACCACTTGAATGTGGTTATAAAGGTAACAGCCCATTGCTGTTTTAAACAGCCTCTCATTCACGCTGCACACCGGCTCTCAGCCACTGAACCTCGAGATGTTTTTGCTGTCGTAATGAAGTCTCTGTGTCAGACATTTTACACTGTACAGTTCACAATTAGGGACATGAATCTTCCCTGAAACTGGTTACTCATTCGATCCAATCATTGAAGTTGGGAGAATGTTTATCTGCCACTTGACACGTCCTCTCTCTGAGACACAGGTTTTAGGTTCAAACCCACATCAGGACTTGAACATAATGGAGTCTGTGGTTGTAAAATACTCCAATGCTGTGCTGGGGCTGCGCTGTGTTGTTGGAGGTTCAGTCCTTCAGTCCTTCTCCCTTGTCAATAAACCCTTGAAACGCTTTCAGACATTCTCTTGCTGGGAAACTCGTCACACCAAACCCGAAGGATTATTACTGAGATGATTTATTTTCAGAAAATAGGAACAATAAGTACATCTTTCATTAATTTAATTTGAATGATTTATTTCCCAGACAGACACGTGCAATAATCACTTGACCGTTTTACCCTTTTCAATTTAATTGACTTCAAGAAAATGAACAGATCAAGAATTAAAATTGTCATCATCGCTCAGTAACGCAGACATTGACCGCACAGAAGCACATTTGGTCTGACCTTTCTGTGCCCATTGTTACCTGTTGTTTTTTTCTAAGTTGCTGTTTGCATATCTCACATATTAACCATTTCCCAGCGCTCTCACCATATACCCGCAATTTTATCTTTTTACCCAGTTCAGTTTTGCCGACTTTTCATCAAGCCTCGGCAGTCAATTCTGTTCATTAAGTGCTCCAGGACACTGCCCCGTGTGAAGGGTGATACATAAGCACAAGTTGTGTTGTTGTTAATGAGTAGTTAATGAGTACTGGTAACCCTCTTAGTACAGAAATGTGATGTAACATTTATCTTAATTATTCTTCTAAGATAAAGCACAGCCCTTGATCTGTCCTGCGCTTAGTATTTTAATATCCTCAGTTATATCCCCTTTTAATCTGATCGGATCCATTGTAAGAGATCAGATAGAATATAAGAGGAACATAAGAACATAAGAATTGCTGGACAAAAGAAGACTGTGGTCCATCCAGTTCACCGTCCACCATCCTGGCAGTCACATGCACAAGTCTTGTCCCAAACTCTATGTTGTATCCCAACATATTATTTCCTCAACAAATTGATCATTTGCTTTTGAAAGAATCAACACATTCAGCTTCAACCGTCTACCCAGGGACCGTGTCCACACATGTACTGCTCGCTGACTGAGAGTGTTTCTGCAGATTTGTTTTGATTTTTGGTGACAGCCCATGTCCTCTGGTAAGCTCTCCAATCTGTATGTGTAACTTGCCTCCTCCCAATACCCTCCCTGAGAATGAGCACAACAGGGCAGGAATCTCACTTCTGTTGCGCTTTACTGTTTGATGCAGAATTTTGGTGTTTCCAGAACTTGGAAATACTGCCATAAATTTAAAGCCAGTTTTGGTTAAGTTTCTTGTATCAGCGACTGCCAACTGGTCACAGCATTTGTATTGGCTTCTAAAGTGAGCCAAGTTCTGCAATGATCAAAAGGTGACATCAATAGAGTAAATCTCGACCCTCGTGGAATTTTGACCGTGAATCATTTCCATATCAAGGAGATTCAAACTTCCAATACAACTCTTTCTTAACTTTCCGACCGTTGTATTCAGGTGTAGAAATCCAAGCATTTTACATCTTGTTAAAGATGTCTTAGCAGAAAGGAATTCAGCAACAAGAGAAGGATGTTCATCTCTATGATCCCACAGCAGCACAGACCATGCCATGATATGGCGCCGAGAGGACACACAGGATGTTGGGCGACATCCTGAGCCAATTAAGGCTCAAATCCTCAGAAATCATCATGAAGCTGCACAGAAGTTGTTCAGACTGCAAATGGCCATCACTGATTGTCCAAAGTAAAGGTCTGGGCAATAGACTGGACAGAGAGCAAAGAGACTCATTCCCTCAGTCGGAGTCATGTTCTATGAGGAACAATGAATAAAATCAGATATATCGAGAGGCATAATATATATCTGGAGGTTATACTATATTATGATTATATGTGTTTGTGTGTGTGGGAGGGAGAGAGAGAGAAGATGGTTGATGAAGAATTTGCATTAAGCAGAGATACAAGAGACAGAGCTTTGTTTAGGGAACAGTTTAATTTCAATTATTTTTCAGGAAACCAACAGTAGTGGAAACTCTTTTTGTGTGGAATGGAATGTGTAACGGCCTTCTCTGATGAACAGATCTATCCGACGTAATTCAGTGGGCGCTGGTTAGTAAGGCTCAGGCTGGGGATGTGCAACTACTGGAGTCTAACAAGTTAAACTCCACAGCTGGAGATTGGATGCCGTGTCTGGCGAGTTTGCTATTTCTTGAGCAGTTAGAACTTTCCTATCCATTGGTGCTTTGGCCTGAGGGGTTAACAGGACCTGAACTGAACAAATCTCCAATGCCCCCTTTGACCAGTTTGCCCCTCTGGTCCTGCCAATGAGGCAGGCTGGCCGGCTGGCGGGTTTGTCAACAGCAGCGTCTGGAATACCGAGGAGACACTTGGCTCAGGAACAGAATGATCGAGACCCCCACAGAGGGTTGACTGAAATGCTGTATTTTGTTGCAAAGTGTATATCTTGGAGTCAGTTCACCACCAATGAGATACCAAAACCCTCTCCACCACCCGAACACCTCCCCGACACATACACACCTCCCCAACCCACACACACCCTCCTCTCCCCCTGCACACCTCCCCAACCCACACACACCCTCCTCTCCCCCTGCACACCTCCCCAACCCACACACACCCTCCTCTCCCCCTGCACACCTCCCCAACCCACACACACCCTCCTCTCCCCCCGCACACCTCCCTTGGTCTCCATAAATAATAATCCCTCCAAAACCCAAAACAATAATAAATTGGTCATTTTCAATCTACGACTGTTTGTGGGACATTGCTGTGCGCAATTGACTGCCGCGTTCGCCCACAAATATACAGTCAATTCACTTTACAGTGTGTTCTGTGAAGCGCTTTGGGACGTCCTCCCGACGTGAAAAGCGGTATATCAAAGCCAAGGATTATTATTATTATTATTATTATTATAACCAAAGGCAAATTAGAAAACAACAAATGTGTCTACAATGTATAACTTGGAGAGAAATTGACGTTGACAAACACTGGACTGGATGCTGCTGTCCCGGGTCACTGTGGTTCAAACAACATTTACAAGAAATCATTGACATTGGCCACGTGATGATCTGAGAAGGAGTCGGTTTCTGATCCGCAGGAAACACCTGCACTGTCTGACACTAAATTAGAGCGGCTTCTTCTTAATATAATATAAACCTGACCTGAAACCATCTGCTGGAAACTGGTTACAAATACTCCACCCAACAACACGGAGCGTTCTCCCACACACGCCTTATGTCTGTGGAAATCAAATAATTGTCAAATAAAAGGATCAGATATTGTTCTGCAGAGGATATAAAAACTTGATCGGCATTTATCACTATCGGGGAACACTTCACACGACAGCATTAATATTACCTGATAACAAACCACT